ATCGCTGAAACTTATTCTCTTGTATGTGCGAAACATGAAATTTATGCATAAAAACACATTTATAGCTCTCGTCGATTGCTCGCACTGTTTTGTGTCAGGGGGTCAGAATCATTTTCTCCAACAGTTAGCATTTTTGTAAATGTCTTTTGGCGCTCATTGTTGTCAGACTTTCACTCTGCAGTAAAGAGACATTTTCAATCTTCATGCATTTATTTTGTCTGTGGCAGTGAAGCACATTATCCAAACCTTCAGAAACTGCTGCACGTTAGACTGAACTAATGAGACACTTTAAGGACTGACTGACTGACTGAAAAACTAACTATTAATGCATTGAAAACACGTGCCTGCCCAACAGCATTAATTCCACAAACAACCCATAATGCCACTCTCTGCTACACTGGTACTCTCTTCATTTAATAAGTGATACCTGATGTTGTGAAAACATAAGTGCCTTGTCCTTAAATATAGGATGACCTCCACTTTTGCAAACCTCATTTCCAAAAAAAAAAAAGTGTCTTATATTTGGGTTATTCAGGTAGTAAAACCCTGCAGCGATCACTCTTATCCTTTTGTGTAAGTGAAGCCTTTCACTGCCAGTTAGTTTTAATTGTCTTCAATCGTGTTCAGTTACTAACATTTGGCTGTTTTAACTGAATATCATCCCATTAAGACTGAAGACTGACTGCTGATGTAGAAAGACAACGTTTCAGTTTCACACTTGACATGAATAGAATAGAATAGAATAGAATAGAATAGAATAGAATAGAATAGAAAGTCTTTATTGTCATTATACAAGTACAGTGAAATTTATAGAGCTGCTCCCAAGGTGCACCAGCATTACACACTATATATACAGAGAACCTGCTCTGTGTGTGAATGTGTGTGTGCTCGTCTAGTGTGATAAATGGTTTTGTATGCAGCTTGCAGGGTTTATCGATGACTGACTGTGTCAGACGAAGAGTTTAATTTGGGCCTCAGGAAATTTTCCACTGTTGGTTTTTCCACTCCAGGTGATTCATTAGAAGTGTGGTTACTGTGTGTGCGTGCAAGTTAGCACGTGCACGTTTACACTTGTGCGTAACAGGGTTTTCCCCACATTAGACTTTGGTGGTACTGGACATGTCAGATTTGCAGAACAATATATTGTTTAAGCATCAACGTTGCTATGTACGCATCACATTGTCCACACAAGTTGACTATATAAACCCTTTTACTGCAACAAAGTTTTGCCATGAAATAAATATGATACAAATTAGTCATAATGACATAATTTAGTCTGTTCAAGCAACATTTTGATTTTAAGCATGCAATAGAAAAACTCATGAACAGGCAATTTGCGTAAATATTTTGAAATAACTTTATGAGCGTAGAAAATGAAAAACCTTTAAAAAGGAAAAATTGTTAGAAATAGTATGTCTGGTGTTTATGACATTGCATTTTAAATATTATCTTGTTAAAGAAACTACAATAAATGTTTCACTTTTTTGAAGCAGTGCCTTGTATGCAGAGTATTTATATTCTTATCAGTCTTTTTTTTTTATGTTGTTTTTGAGAAATACTTAGCAGACCCCCTTGGATTTAGCCAGACAATACCCTGTGTGTGAGTGTGTGAGTCACATGGATGTGCATTTGTCCACATCCATGTTTGTCTGTGTGCTTACGTGGTAGCCAGTGCTTGTCTGTGTGTGTTTAAGCAGCTGTTTAATACAAAGCTATAAGGCGTTCTCTCAACAGGAGTTAAACCAGCCTTGGTGAAGCTTGTAGGCTCAGCAGAACTACTCTATTCTCTCTCTCTGTCTCTCTCTGTCTCTCTCTCTCTCTCTCTCTCTCTCTCTTTCTCTCTCTCTCTCTTTTATTGAGGCTGTAACAGGTAGCGTTTAAATCTATTTTTAATTGAAATTAGCATAAGATTGCTTAAACTCATTACTAAATCACATCAGACTTCATTAGTCATCTTACCATTGTCAAAGCATAAGCACAGGAAGCATACAGCATAAGTAAATCATAACCCTTGACCTCTACAGTGAAGGGATACGGTCGCTCTATTATGCAGTGAGCTGCATTTTACTGACAAGTCAACTTGCCCCCTTGGCCAGTGTTACACCGTCCATGTCCACTCGTGCTCTAGGGTCTGTGTGTCATAAATTTGGTCATCTGACCAAGTTTGTGAAAGACTGTGCCGACCCCCACAGTCCAAAATATGTGTCCACACAGACAGTCCGTGTGGCAACCACACCACAAGGGCAGTAACTGTATGCTCAGCAGTTGTAGTGCACAAAAGACACAGACGCTAATCTACTGTATGTATGGAACAGCGTGCTCCAAGCAGACTAGTAAGTAGCATAGCAAAAATTATGTATCTGAAATGTCCACAGCTGTCTGTGTGCACATCATCCATGCCTTTGATGGATTGGTCACTAAAAATCAATACAAACTGTATTCTGAGTGATCTTTATGATGAAACATTTCTATCCTGATAGGAGTGGTCTTTTACAGGGGGACAATACCTCCATCCTTAGAGCACAAAGGACCGAATGGTTTGATGAGTATAAAAATGATGTGAATCAAGAGATCACCAGATCTCAACCTAATTTAGATTTTGGACTCACATGTTACACGGTGCTCTTCACCACCACCATCAAATGAGGGAATATCTCTCAGAAGAATCATGTTCCATCTCTTCAGCACCTAAATCTACCTTTTCATTTAAAAACCTTTTAATGAAGGCTGTTGTATAGACTGTTGAGGTATAAAGAATAAAGAGGAAACACTAGAAAGGTCTCTGATAAACTCTTAAACGCTTCAGCATTCAAAATCAATGGTTGGTTGATTAGGTACATTTACAGCTTATTCTCATTTATATCTGGCTACTGATTACTCGACTGAAAGTGCTGCTGCTCTCTTCTCACTCACTGAACAATCCTCATGAGAGCTTATTCACTGAAAAATATTGGCAACTCTGATAACGGGAAACAAACTAAAAAGCCACTAAAGTTGATAATAGGCGCTATGTCGTTAAAGGGATTTTAAAAGTTGCTAAGTCTAGAAAGAGGTGTCAACAGGCGTCAGGGCAGAGAGAGGCAAATACTCATATTTTATAGCACCGCAGCAAAAATAAACTGTAGCAATAGGTCTGCTGTTTTAAATATATTTTAAATATACTACAACTGCTCACATCAAAGTTTATGCTGCACAAACTTAAATATGAAAGTTGTTGTGCGCACATTTGATTCTGAGCAATAAACAGGATGTTGAGAAATAAGTTGGTTTCCTCTGTGTTTGAAATTGCCCCTCCTAGGTGATGCACTTTACTTACGTTTTGACACCTTGCATGAACATGAATACAAAACAGTCTCTGTGATTTTATGGTATATTAATAAAATTACCTTTACTTGAACATGCTGTTACTTAATGACAATAAAAATACTCAATTGCAGGTTTTCAACAGTGTATTTCAACCATTTAACCCAGGAGAGACACAAACCAGTTTGCAACATCCTCCTCTGCCATTTTCTTTCTCAGCTTGTAATCGATCCTGGCTGTGTAATATCATTTTCAGATGTTGCGTTATTTTACAAAGTAGACCTGGCCTATATTGTTTTATTCCATGTCTCTGTGGTGCAATGTCCATCGTCTACAATTTTATACGCTGTATAATTTGTCATGTCAGTACACTTTCTGTCAATGTCACTCTTTAAACAATTCTTTTCCATGACACTGACGTTTTCTGTTATGTACTGGTTTATTTTTGTCAGAACTGATGACACAGGAATAGATATGAAGTCATATTACCCTTTTGTGCATGGCTGCAGGGAACCACTGCCCATTTTATTGTGGCAGTTTGCATTAGCTCTGTCTGTGGCCAAAGTGGCAAGCCAGGCGACAGCTGACAGCTCCACTCATCTGGCTTCATTTAGGAACATCGCAGTTTGATGCTGTGTTTAGATGAGTGTGAATGGGTTTCTTGGTGTGTGGTGATGAGTAAAACAGTTAGTCTCCCTTGCTGAGAAAAAGGAGAGACATTACACACACATACACACCAGCCAGTCTTCATAATCAAACAGAGGTCTCTGTGGAAAGACAGAAATGTGAAGACACCTTAAGATTTGTGAACAGTTTTTGTCACAGAGACATGGGGATGGTGGGATGTGTGTTTCATGAGTTTATGCCTCACTGAATTCATCACAACACTGGCAGACTGACAGGAGACTTCTGTGGCAAAATGTAGTTTGTTGATGGGAGGAAAATTCTGAAGAATCAACTCAAAACTTATTTAGTAATAATTTGGAGTATTTTAACATTTTTATAGTATGTCGAAGCACTTAATAGGTAATCTTGAGTTTTTCAGTCTGAGTTTGTTACATTTTTATTATACCTTATTAAAACCCAAATTAATATCTTATTACATCTAAGTTACAATTTTACAGGGTGCATCAAACTTAACATGACCATATACCCTCAATTAAAACAGTGAAGCTTATAAAAAAAGAAGAGGGGGATGAACAAGAACACTACTGTAGACAGAAAAACATTTGGGTCACAAATTTCTGTGGTATCGACCGCACACTCAGTCTATAAAATGTGGTCGTCATAGCAGTGATAAAAACAGATTATTGGTAATATATGTTTTTATAGGCTGAGTACGTCTCAACTCTATTGTAAGGAAATGTAATACTAATACTATTGTTGCTATACGGTTGGTAATTTTATCGATGGTCTAATTCAAAGCTTTCTCCCCCAGAAAACGACCAGAGCAAAAGTTATACGTTTTAAATGTGAAACTGCTTTAAAAAAATCTTCATGTGGTTTAGAGATAGAACAAATGAAACCCAGCTTTATTGTTTCAGCCACATTCTTTTTGATAGCACACTGAAGTAGCGTGTACACGACACAATGCACTGGTGATATGCTTGTCTGCAATGGAAAGGTTCTCCTGTGTCGACCAAAGCACAACAGAGACATCAGAGTTTCTCTTTACCCTCTGCCCTCTCTCTTTTCAGACCTCTGAACCGCCAGAGCATTTTCACAGACAGGACTCTCAAAGTGCTGCCGACACTCAGAGCTGCAGTCGTAGTGGCAGCCACAGCAGAGCGAATCATTCCCACACCTACAAAAACCCCGGCATCAGTTCCTCCGCTACCCACCGGACACAAGCCCAGAGCTTACAGCAGCGGTCACGTCGGGAACAGGCACAATCCCATGCTTCAGATGGAGGGGTCCCCCCTGGTCTAGCAAACACCCTCGAACACATCATAGGTCAACTGGATATTCTTACCCAGGTAAGCAAAAGATGATCTAATCTTTCACGACCAGCAGCACGTACTGTACTTTGGCTGTGCCTGCCACCCACACTGTTCAGAACAAAAGCTTCCTTTACAACCTGCAGGCCGGTGATGGTTTTAGTGAAACAGACACCAAAGTATTAAAAAAACCCACAACCTCTTCTGTGTTGTTTAGTACTCTATTAAACTGGTGCAGTGATACTAAATGGGTATGTGTCTATGGTGGATTTTATTCCTCACATTTATAGTTACATTTTACTATTTCATTTAAAACCATTCTTTACAGATGAGGGGATATATGGAGACTGCCCACAGTGAGATCTGTGCATTATCATGACCTTGGACACTGCCTATGTAAAGCTAGGTTTTAAAATGTAATTTTAGCGCTATATGCAGCATGAATTAAATTCTACCCACCTGTGTAATGTGGAGGAAAAGATGGAGACAAAACATAAACAAAGCAACTGGCATGGCGAGAGTCGATTAATTGAGAAAAGTTTGTGTTTGTAATACGGGTGAACTAACCCTCTAATATTCATCATACGCATTCATTCATCCACATGCCAATGTAACAGCTGACTGACTGTAGCAATAAGTTGCACAGAGAAGGGCGACTGTTACTGGTTGTGTAATCTGCTCTTTATATTGGTTTGGTTTTCGCAAATCATTGTACAAACATTTACACAGAAATCCTCCTTTTTAGATAGATGTGTTTGGTTAGCTCTGTTCTCAGTGCTGGTGGCTGGTAAAGTCCAGACCCAGTTTAAAGTCAGACCAAGCCAGAAATTGTAGGACTAAAAATAGATCCTTAAACAAAAACAGGAAACAACAGCAACCAGTTTAAACTCCCAGAGCTCTGCTTCATATCAATTTATGTCCATTTGTATGTTGTGCGTTTTTGTAAAGCTACATAAATGGAATTAGTAATGGATCCTGAGATGCTTGTGGAATAAATGTTGAAACGTGAGGCTCCCCCTGCAAAAACCTGATGACAAATCGCAGTTACATCTTAGACCTTGTACACAGTGACCTATCCGGGAAGAAATGAAACGTTGGTAGCTGTTCAGTTTGTGTGAAGAGTAGTGCTTTTGTTCTATTGAGATTTATATTTAAACGACCAGCTCCATGGCAAGGCTTGAGGCTGCAGCTAGTGGCAACTCTGCAAGAAACCACATCTCATTGCAAGGTGTTGGAAGCACCTGTCGGTTCTTTTATGTGTCTGACTTGCTGTTTTTCTTCTCAGTGGAAAGATGTTGTGAAAGAATGCTTTCTGCTTGAGAAAGAATTTAAATAATTTGTGCTTGTTGTGGCCCATACTGATATGATAATAACAGTATCAAGCTTACATTTGCAAAATTGCGAACTGTAAAGTATAGATACTTTACAACAAAGGCCTTTCAAATATCTGTCATTAGTTTGTCTTTTTTTTTTTTTTGCCGAATTGAATTGATCATTGTTCAAAGTTAAAAAGTAATAGGAAGGAAAAACGTCCAGTGAGGGGTTACACACAGGTTACATTCAGGTCACACTGAGCATGTAACATATGTGGACCATTTCCGAGGCGGATGTGCTGCTGATCGCATCTTTCTTATGGCTACACCTACAATGCAAGTAAGCATAGGGTTGTCGCAAAACAAGATGGTGAGGTTTAATTTTGGTATTCTTGTGTCGTCAGTTTCTTTGTATAATACGGGTAAGTTGTCATAGACTACATGGGACTCTACGAACTACTCTACGAAGCAACCGTTAGGTGGTTCTGGCAAATAAAGACCAATGGGGTGATCATGACTCCTAAGTCGTTTCCTATATGCCAGTAGTTTCATTTTAGAAAATATGGACACTTCATGACTTGTTTCTGTGTCAAAGAGAAATGCACAGCTTGTGGTAAAATATAAATAGAAGACTGGTCCATTTTTACGTTTGCAGCATTTTGCCATTTTTGCCATTTTCATTGATTATAAAAGAAATGTAGTGTTGTGGCATCTGTTCCATGTATGGCTCCGCATACATTACACGTATAGTGTATCTATGAGATACTTAATGGACTAATACATGGGTGAATAATTGGTACTGAGCTTCATTGTTTAGAAAACGTTTCATGCTATTAACATAAAACTGGCTAAATCATTGCTGGCTGAGAGAAGAGGGGGCGATCTGGTCTCAGAGTCTACAAGAGTTCACATATCTCAACCGTTACATGTAACTAGTATTAGTTTTTAGATCACACATAGCTATTCACTATTGTATAATGTACTCTGTATGGCTAAGTAAAGAGTAAAATAGAGTTGTGTATGAATTATTAGGTAAAGATGTAACATTTTTACAACTTAAGTACATCCTTTTTGTTCAACAGGTGTTTGATAAATTGTTTGTACAGCTGGACTTTGTAGCCATGGTCACCCTGAATTAACTGTCACCTGAAATCAGTTTCATTCACTTCACTGTGCCCTCGGTGCTCTAATGTCACTCTGCTGTCCACTCTGTGCGAGAGGAGCTCAGTCCTGTCCTTGTGTAACCGCGGCAGCAACACAGAGAGCAGAAAATAGAGGCTAAAAACACCACTCAAAGCAGTGATGTTTTTCATTCACAGTATGATTCACATGATTAGCTGTAATTATCAGCTGAAATTCCATTATCAGAACAATAACAATAATTAAATGTTCTTTTTTATTGGCCAGTAACATTTCAACCACCAATATTTTGTGCATCCCTGATTTTTCCAGATGATTTAAAAACCATAATCCTTCCCTCCAATTGAGGGCTTTTGTTATAAGACATGTGCAACTGTCCTAGGTGGATGGATATGAAGAAGAGCGACCCATTAGTTTTTAGCTCAGTGGATTAATAGAATAGAATAGAATAGAATAGAATACAATTGACTTTATTTATCCCAGACCTGGGAAAAAAATTATTGAATTAATATCATATGCTAATCCAATGCTGAATGGGGAGTGTTTAATTAAAGGTGTATATTTACAGTCTTCAGTGTTATCCTGTAATAGCTGCACAATTCTTCCAGCTTAAGCTTGTTTAAAGAATCGTAACCAGATGAGTGGCGTTGGTTACACTGCCTTTATTTGTCATTGTGGTGTTCTTAGTGCTAGCTTTAATTTAGAACAAATACATTTTTCACTTATTAATTACATATTTTATTGGTACAGCAACATAAGATAAGAACATGTGCTGTTTCTTTAGTCAGATCTTTCAAGTTCACTTCAAGTCATACCTGTAGTCATTCACAACTTTTTTCTTCTTTCATATGAATACCGTAGTAGTGAAGGATTCCAGATCAAATTACATGTATTAGAGCCTTTCTTTTTGCCAAGGCCCAGCAAAGACTTTACAGTACTGAGGTGCAATAGAGGATAGAAAAACAGCAGAAGAGAGAAACAAGATCACTCTGAAGTAGTGAAAGAGATGTGAGAGATGTACAATGAGGAAGAAGAGGCAGAGGAGATGAAGCAGGCAAGAGGCCAGAGAGACGGGAGGAGTTGAATGAGCAGAGAGAGCACAAAGAGGTTTGGT